CAGCAGCGGCGGGGTTGGCAAAGCCGTGGGGGGGCGTGCCTGGCCTGCCCCGCTGCCGGAGCCCCTCCATGGCTTTGCTCTGCGTCTTCCTGGTCTGCAGACCAGGAAGACGCGGAGAAAGCCCCGGAGTACAAGGGCGGCAGGACCGCAAGGTCCCGCAGTCCGTGTCCTCCGGGGGAGCCCCGTTCGTAACTGCGGATCCGACATAAGTCAGATCCACGTAAGTCGGGGACTGCCTGTACATCAACACCCTCTTCCGCATCTGTCTAGCCCTGTGTTGGTCCTAGCACCACACAGACCCAAACTTGCTTTTAGCAACCCTGCTCTCCCCAACACCTTACTTCAGTGCTTCCAAAAATCAAAGCCAACTGACCAGATGCATTCTCTGCTGATTTTGCTTACCCAAACTCCAACTGCTATGACTGGCTTGCCTCCTCTGAGGTAGAAAATAGCTCCTGACTGCATGCAGGACACTTAATCATCCTCAGGCTCTGTGGTCCGTCCTCTTTGGCACTCACATCCACTATTTCCTTCTCCTGGTTCAGTCCACTCTGGGATGATCCAGAGTGTCCATAGGAGTCTTTGAAGCTGAGGTGGTGGTCACTTCCCAGTCTCTCATACAGCTCTTTGTAGAACCAGCAGGTTGTGGGCTTAGCAGTGTAGTGGTAGTTTGTCTTTCATGCCTTCTGGTAGCCATTTTGCGGCTCCTTCACTTTGACCCTACTCTGCAGTAGGTCCCAGTCATGGCTCCTTTCAGTTATGCATCTTGATATCTGCCCATAGGTATCATAATTCCTATGGCTGGTGCACAGCTAGGACTGGTCAGCCTCCTCTCCCAAAATACAGATGAGATCCAGCACCTTGGCATTGCTCCAAATAGAGGATTGCCTGGTGCATGGAACAGCCATGGTCACCTGGAAATATGTGCTAAGATCATTCCAGGTGTGACTGACCAAAGAGGAGAGCTTTCAAAATTCCAAAGGAATCTAAAGGGAGGGTCTGACAGTTGGTCACCTGAGGGCAGAGCAATAGAGTTCAAACTGATGACCAGAGAGGCAATAACAGACATTGTGAGACGGGTACCAGAGGCCTGTCACAGTGCTATAGTATACCACAACATCCACACACGTTCTATGCCTCTTGTTGAGGTGGTTTACTGAGAGCACAGGCAACTGCAGAATTACTGCATACTAGGTGCTTGTCAGTATGGACATCTCGGGAATTACTGTGCTGTAACTTGCCAGTGTAGCATTGTCATAGAGAGCTCCACGTACTTACTATAGGAACAACAAATATTCCAAGTACATGGTCACATGAACACTTTTCCATCCTGAGAGAGAGAGCACACACAAGAGAAAGTGCATGAGTTGATGGCCAAGCCAGCAGAACTAAACATTTTGTTCCTGTGATCTTGTTTATCTCAATTTACCAGCTTCCCTTTACAGAAACTGACAGCTAATCTACACTATCATGCTACACCGTGTCTGGTGAAAACATCCTATGCCAAAGAGAGAGCACTCTCCAATGAGCATAATTACTCAACCTCAACATAAGGCAGGAGCTATCTCTCGCTGACACACAATGGTGTGAATACTGCTTTAAGTCAATGCAACTTGCATTGCTCAAGGCTGTGAAAAAGCCCATGAGCAATGCAAGTTACATTGACTAAAGCTGCAGTGTAGACTAGAGCTTGGTCTCCTAACTATTGCTGGGATAGGTTTGGATAAGTTAATAATTGTTGGAGAGTTACATAAAAAAGATAACTGTTCTGTTTCTTCTGTATCACCAATACTGAGTTTGCAGTGAAAATTATTATGGATGAAAATATACTAACAGAGAAAGAAAAGTACTGTTACCAAGATCATTCAACAAATGCAAATTCAGTTCACTATGATGTCTCTTAGTAGATAATGTATTCTTCCAATTTCATTTCTGAACTCCTATTCAATCTTACATACAAAAACTACCTCTGAAACAAGGAAGTGGTGGAAAGTTAAATTATTTCTTGCAGAATATTGATTTTCTCTGGAGGTCTTGTACTGAACAACCAGGCCTGACTCTGGTTGGCTTATGACTTATTTTCCCAAAGCAGTTAATCATGTTATATATTATAATAATATATGTTATATATTATAGCAATTAACATAATTAATACCATATTAGTTGTAACATTGTTTGGGTCAATGATTCTAAGGGTCCGTCTACACTAGCCCCCTAGTTCAAACTAGGGAGGCTAATGTAGGCATTAGAAGTTGCAAATGAAGCCCAGGATTTAAATATCCCGGGCTTTATTTGCATCTTCCCGTCCAGGTGCCATTTTTAAATCCCCCTAGTCCGAACTAACTGCTACACGCGGCAGTCAAAATTAACATACACATCAGAATCCAAGTTGATTTTTCCATTTCTAACTGCAGAAACGCCATGTGTGGCTATGCAATATTTCCAGGTAAAGTGGACACTTTCATCTGTAGGAAAAAAATCTTAAATATTGTTCCATTCTATGAGATATTTTATTATTTTAAACTTCATATAATTTTAGATTTATTGTCTGACAC